AATTAGCGGGGGCACAGTTAGAATTTGAAAGAAAATTATCTTAGGTCACAGCGGTAGTTTTTTTTTCCAACACAAACCCAAGATGTTCTCACTTTCTTATTACTCTGTCCAAATGGGATAGCATATCAAAGGAATAGCATTTGTACCTCTGCAAATCGCTTCAGTTTTACAATTTCCGTTTATTAATTAAGTGACAATAAATTTACGTGAGAAAGTTTCGTCTCCGGATTTTGAGCAGTCACCAGGATGCAGTATTAAGTAATGTTGATTGAAGGTCAGGTGAATTCCTTTAGAATCTACGAGATAAAAAGAGACACTCGTGAAATAAGTGTTGGGATTAGACCTGGCTTGTTTATACCAGCGAAAGACGAATTCTTCTTACGGAACAGCAGGGCTCGGGTATACATACAGACGCTCTACTTTTCGTTTCACACAAGGCGAACGAAATTATTCATGATTATTAGAATTTTAAAGAACAAACGCGCACGCGAAATTTCCGCGCAAAATGAAAAGTACCCGTTTGCATGTAGGCAAGCAGTGTTTCAGTCTTCGTAATTCTATTCAATATTCAGCGTGGGGAATTGAAGTTAGAGATAACTTCGTGAAAATTCCGCGTCAGTAGCCGACCCAGAGGACCTTGAGGCAGGGGGAGGGGGTGGAGTGAAAGTGAAAGCCCCCCTCCTTTTTCTACTCCAACATGGGGAGAGGGAGGGGCGAAAAAACTATTCGACTTTAAACTTCAGGCGTAATGGAGAGGCAGGGGGAGATGTCTGGGTTCCTTCGCTGTATGTTGTGTTTATTGAAGGGGTTGTAGAACTCCCTTACCATACGGTGTTGATCATACAGGTCCCAAACGTTTCCTGCGGCATGGCCGACAGCAGCAGCAACCACAGCAGTAACAACCAGAAATGATTGACAAGACCAGGAGTAAAAACACCAGCAGCATTACTATGCGTTCAGCGGTGTTACGTGACTCCCACCAACGAATAAAATCTGTCGACAAAAGGACAGAGGCCTTAATAGGGGGTTACGGGGTATGGGATATTTAGGTAAAACAATTTATGGGATAAAGGATATTTGGGGGAAAAATTAAATGGGGCTGCGGGATATTTAGATCAGGTAAGTATAGGTAATCGTATGAATGCGAGTGCAATTAAGGATTGTGAGTGATATTTGAGTATTCTCTCAAAATTGCACCAGCCTTTAGGCGAGAAACTCAGACCCCTCCCCTCTNCCCCCCACCTCAATGAATGGGACCTCAGGAAAAGACGTTTTTCCTCCATTTAATAATAATAATTAAAACTTGTATAGCGCAATTTTCTATGACGAACATGATCATGTTTCAACCTCCAGTGCTGACCCAAATTACGTGCGCCCGGACAAGAATTTTTATAAATTTAGGCGAAATATAACAAAAACAAGAGAGACTGGAGCTTAAAGATAAGCTAACATTCGTTTTCTCCTCACCGCAGTAGTCCGTGGAGATTGGCAGCTCTTGTTCTACAAGTTCTAACTTCAGAGGAAAGAAAGAAACTGGTCCAACTTTAGTTCCTCCTTCCAGGATTACCTTTAAATAACATGAAAATGACAAAAATATATATCATTGTGCCTACTTTCAGCTATGTCAACAGCGCGTATGAATGAAAAATAAGTGCTCGTAATGGAGGACGAAAACTTGAGACACTCAAGCTACGGGGTAGTTTTGATGCTTTGAAACAACACTCGGAAACCCTTGTTTTATTGTAGCCTTAACACTTAGAACTTTGTGCCTACTGGCACGTCAAACTGTTTCTTAGCAGTGAAGTCGCTAGGCAACGTGAGTGACTTCTTCTTACCATAGTTAAACTAAAAACTAATCAGGCTTGAACGGGATTCGAACCCAGTACATCTGACACACCAGTGCAGTGATTCATCAACTAGCAACTTAGCTTCACAGCAACTTTCGGAATATTCATGAGCACGAGAGTGAACTTGTGGTTGGAAAACTAGAAAGATCGGAAACCTGACGAGTGTTTTCGAGTGATTCGACCGATCGACTTATGTTCTCTTCCACCCTCCCCAATCCCCCATCCCCAAATTGCCCATATATAACCGCATTTGTGTCAATCGAACCTTTAAAGTTAACATGTCGTCATCCGGTTCAATCTTGACTTAAATAAACATGCCAGCCTTGGCGACGTTTTTGACCGCAATACCAAGTCCTGGAACAGCCAGTTCATCACCGGAAGTGAAAACGTGCGTCCAATCTATGTCTTCTCCTTTGACCTTCACATTGATACTCACGGTAACCGGCTCATCACACCTGGAGAAGAACATTTCTTTAGTTGTGATAGTAGTCGGTCAGAGTCACTAAAAGTAATTGTGGTGGGCGAGGGGGGGGGGGG